AAAATATTTGGCTAGACAGAGTGACATTGTAACCCCATATATCCCACTTATTTTATTCTTTTCCTTTACGGTTTATTCAGGAGCTGGTTCTGCCTCCGGTGAAACATCATCAAAACTCAATTTGACTTCTGGGAAATGGGAATATATTTTTAAGTGGCTATTAATTCCAATGCTGCTCATGCAATATAATTTCCAGGAAAGTGGAATACCTTGTAACAACTACTTCTGCTTATTCATAAAATAAAATTAAAAAAATAAAATAAAACTAAGTGAATCCTAGTTCAGTAACNAATAGGAAACACTTCCTGTGACAATAATGATACATCGATGGCTTTGGAATTTGTACGTCGATTTTTTCTTCTTAGATAGGGTATTAAGGAAAGAGTATGTGTTTCCTTATAAATGGAGAGTACCAGATGTTCCCCTTTGGACTTTTACATGTAAACAAATGTTTTTCTTTTGCCCACAATAGTTTTATTTATCTAGCTGATTTTGTGTTGCTCTTTTTATTTTTTCTCATTTTTTTCTGATAGTGATGGATAGAATTAGATAACTAGCATCCTGCAACTGGCATATCTTTAGATGAAATTCTCTAGAGAAAAATCAAAGGCAGATGTGAAGAAATGTTACATTTGACTCTGACCAGAGCTCTATGTAAAGAGCTGTGGCTGATCAATACTGGTCCTATTAATTCTTATCCCGGACAGATGATCATTGTTTCTGTTCCTTCCCTAGAGCTAAATTACTTTGAAACAGCACAAAAACTACTCACAGGAGTTAGTTCAAAGACATAAGAAAATATTTTCTTCTACACTGTCAAGTATAACCCACAATTTCACAAGCTGAATAGAATTTGGTTTTATATTGCACTTCTCATCAGCTCCAAGAAACCTCAAATCAGTTTGACATTTTGAAATACGAGAAGCAAAGATTGTGCTGTAAGTATGTAAGCCATTGCTCAGCAATGGTAACACACAAACCTACATAGCAGAACCTGTTTTGCTGGGTGATGGAAAAGCAGGGCAACTTTCCTTGTGGGATTCTGCACTTCCACCTGCATTGCTAACTAGCGATAGGCTGCAGGTGGTTCATTTAAACATTTCATTGAATGGCACAACACATCCTTTACGCTGCAATGCCTACATTAAGCATGAGTATTATGCCAGTGAGCGTGACAAAGGAACCATATTAAAGTAAATATTTAGGTAAATAAAAACAACTTGAGCTTCAGCTGGTGAACACTGGCATTGCTTCACTACATCCAACACAATGCTGTCGATTTCCACCAGCTAAAGATCGACTGTATTTTGACACTGAGTCAAGCCTCTTTCAAAATTGTGTTGTCATTAAGTTTTATACTTAAGTGTGCATTGCTATCAATTGTATTTAAATAGCTAATTTATCAGATCTTTAGGAGTTCTACTTTGCGAAGAAGGAAAGATGTTTAGGTAGGATTTTCCACTTACCTCAGCTCTCTAGTAAGCAGAGAAGAAAAGTAAGGAAGGGAAACCACATTCAGTTACAATTTCTTTTCTGCCTTTTTTTTTAATTCGGAAATCAAAAAGTAGGGGGGAAAGTAGCACTGAACACACATTCAGAAAAAAGCATAGTATCAGATTCTAGTGCCTAACTTACTATTATTTCTACCTATACTTATAAATATTCATCAGTACTGTCAATGCGTATTTAGAGGGTTGCTTACAACCACAGAATCCAATCATGCCTTTAAGATAATGTCATGGTATTGCAGTTAGTGGAATTAATGTTCCTCTGAAAAAAAAGAGAGGTACCTCTCTGCCCTGAATACTGTGATGGTTTGGGTCTACATCTTTCTGGTAAAGGCTACCTTGCTTTTAGACAGTAGCTTGTGTCCAATCCGCCTCCCTTCTAAACACCTGGAAGTCTATAACAGCAAAGATATTCCAAATGGTACTCAACAGACAGTGCAGATATATCCATGCATCTCTCTGAACTCCATCTTTCCAAAACAAACCATTTCATTACTTTTCTGGGGAGAACACAGAAAGATACCACTTTCCGTATAAAGATGCAATAAGTTGACTTTGTCAGCTGACAGACAGTTGTTCAGTTGCTCTTTAACAGGATGAGGACAAAAGAAGATGAAGATGCTCAGGGGTTGAGATAGGAAGATCACTTACCCACTACCTTCACAGACAAAACAGATCAAACTTGGGGAAACAAAACTTTTTGACTGTTAAAAGTTAAGTAAGGAGCAAAGACAAAAAATAAAACAACTTTCTCCCCACTACCTTCTTCCCAGGCTCAACCTCACTGCTTCATTCTCAACTGCTCTATCCCTTTCTCTAACCTGAACAGGGCAGGAGGATGAGGAATACACTTCGCCTCTGCCTCTCCTTACTCCTCACACTGTTCCTCTACTCCAGCATGTGGGCACTCTAATGGAATAGAGTCCTTTAAAAACTTCTCCAGCATAAGCCCTTCCCACAGATTGCAGCTCTTCAAGAACTGTTCTAGCATGTGTTCTCTCCAGGGAGTATGGTGCACCAGGAACAGACTGATCCAGCGTGGGTCCCCCATGGGCTGCAGTTCTGGCAAGAAAATCTGCTCCAATCTGGGATCCTCTCCACAGGCTGATGTTTTCTTTAGAACATGCCCACCTGTTCTGGCACGGGGTCCTCCATAGGCTGCAATGTGGATATGTACCCCCTTGTGGTCCTCCATGAGCTCTGGAGGGACAACCTGATCCACCATGATTACAGAGGAATCTCTACACTGGTGCCTGCAACTCCTCCTCCTCCTTTTTTCACCTTGCTTTCTGCAGGGATGCTTCTTGTGAGAAGTTTTTCCTCACTTCTCACACTGCTGTAAAGCATTTTGCTCTTCCCTAAATCCATTTTCTCTGACGAGTCACCATGTTGGCTGAATGGGCCATCTGTGCCCTGCAGTGAGTTTATTTGAGCTGTCTGAAACTAGTTGTATCTGACATGGGCCATGTTCTGGCCTCTCTTCACATAGACTAACTCTGTCACTACAACCACAGCACCTGCAGCACTGAAAGTGGGGCACATAAACCTAGAAGAGAGAGAAAGCTTATATTTCAGGCACTAATACATTAATTTGATAAGGAAAGAAAAGCTTAAAAGTTTGATGGGTAAAATTTATGAAGAAACTTGTATCCACACGATAAAGGAAAATCTGCTCCCAAACCCAATTATTTGACCAATTTTTATAGCTGCTCAAATTATTCAAGAAAAAAACTTTCCAAACAGGTGTTAACAATAGTTCCAGAAAAAAAAAAAAAAGAGACATAGATACTAAAAGTGATTGAAATTACCTCATCAGACTTTAGACATCTGCAAACCATTCACCTACAGCTGAACTTATCACTCTAGACACTCTTTATAATTCAAGGAGATTGTTTTAAGGTGAAATTCTGACCCAATACAGATAGCCACCTAAAGGTAGAATGGAGTCTTCCACTAAATATATTTGTTTATCTCTGACAATAAAGATAGCCTAGCTGCCTATGTTTGGTCACATAAATTTCATCTTGAGTGTTTTATGATCAGATTTCTAGATATTGGAATGCTTAATAAAGACCATAAGCTTGACATGTTAAGACATGCTGAACAAGTAGTAGTGCCTCTTCAGTATGAAATGCTGAATTAAGTCATAGGCTGGTGGTAATTAGAGAGTTAGAATGAGAGAGAATGAAAATCCAACACGTGCTCCATAAATATTGCAAAAAATTTATATAAGCAGAACATTTGTTAAACGGATGAACTTAAGACCTGGTTTGAATACCAAACAGCCTATTGGTTAACAGATGGCTCTGGTGATATAGGTTCAGCTCTCTACAGCAGTGTGAAAACTCAGACAAGGTCTTCCAGCGGCACAGGTGCATGCTTTAACCGAAAAATTCCTATGTAAAAACTGGAGGGGAAAGAAGTGAGTGCAACATTTTACGTTAATAGTTTCCAGGAGGTTCAACCCAACAAAGATGATGTGAAAAGTCAGATGAATCAGTCTCAAACAGGCAATTCAGAGAGGAAAGTGTCTTGGGTTTTGTCCTGGTTGCAGCCAGGAGGAGGTACGGTCAGGACCCAGAGGTTATTCTATATCACTTTATGTCATTGCTGGGGATGGGGAGAAGGAATTTTCTTCCAGGGAGAAGGGGTTCTACTCTGGTTGAGTAAGTGTGGTGGAGGGAGCTGTCCGATGTTGTCTATTGTTGGGAGGTTTCTGTGTGAATCATTCACCTCTTTCTTGTACCTTCTGTCACTAATATTGTTGCTGTTATTGTATGTTTTCTTATCTCATTGCTGTTTCCAGTAAATTGTTCTTGTCTCAACCTGTGATCTTTGCCTTTTATGCCTTCAATTCCTCTCTGCAGCACATTGCATGGGAGAGGTGAGAGGGGAGCTGGAGGTGCATGGGAGTACTAAATTGAAGAATACCATTCCTAAACCATAAAATTTTTACTTTCTTACAGAGCTGAGATATAAACCAGAGCCTTACCTGTTTAGTGCTCCCTAGATCTATGCAGTTTTGAGTAGACATTTAAGGTTCTTAAGCTACTTTAAAACAACTTAGAGACTTCCAGTGTTAGGCAACAGGTTTTGAATGTGTAGGCTGTAGTTCTGCAACTAGCATTTAAGTTTTTTAGCATATCTTCTCATTTCTGATATGAAAGTGTGTTAGAACTTTTCTACCTATATATATTTCTATTTTATATCATACATATTTTAATGGAAACTTTAAAATTAAATAAGGTGAGGAAAATCCGAGAAATTAGGGTTTCTATCAAACAAAATTTGAGGGTTCTTAACAGAGGAAAGTATACTTGTCTGTCTAGTATTAAACTGTATTTGAATAAAGGAATCCAAATAAATGATATTACTGTACACTTTCCTGAAATTACTTTAATTTCACAAGGAGATATGTGTAGGTCTTTGCCTTTTCAGGAGAATGTGCATTGACAAGATGAAGACCTGAGTACCATTCTGTGCACCCTGTGCACTCATGTTCCCCGGGTTACTGCTTCCTTACTTCTTCATGTGGCCAGTAGCTAAGCAGACCTGTAAACAGAGATTCAAGAGGGTTTAGCAAGCCATGATAATGTGCCAACTTCAGCATGTCAAATGTGGTACATAACTCAGAGTTTACCCTTATACGTATTGCTTCTGCTGTGGTTATAATTTATAATTTTTACAGTACCCGAAAGAGTGTTCCTAGGCAAGGAGTAATTCAGTAGCCCAGCCATTTCATTAGTGCAGAGTCAGGCTGTTGTGTTCAACACAGTTTACCTTGTACTTGCAACACTCTGCAGTTTTCTGGGCAGAATGAATGCTCAAATGTACAAAATGAAAAAATTGTTTCCGTAATTACTCACTATGAACAGACTTAACTCTTATAAAAAACTAACAGAAGGTCCTAATCTCTAAAGCAAGACAACTCTAACCACCCATGTCAGTAACATTTATAAACTACTTGCCAGTTTGTTGCTAACCAGTCCAGTAAAGGAGCAGGAATCACTCCTTACAAATTACAGTGATTACTAGACCTTTGTTACATTCATAAAAAAGTATGTCAAGTTTAAAATATTTTGGATGCAGAAATCTCATCATTCCCTTTTGCAAATACACTTTCCCCTCAAAGCTGGACTCACAGCTGTTCAGCAGAGCCTAAAGTCTGTATAACTGTAGAAACTTCCACTTTCTATTCTGGGTTTGCATTGCTTTGTTTGAAGATTTTGTTTTGTACTTATTTTAAAACTTTTCTCACTTATTTTTGTAACTTTTATTGGTAGTATCTTCAAAAACTATGCTCTCCCAACCTGCCCTTTACAGTGTTCTAAATATAAATGTAGAAACAAAGAAACGCATATTAATAAGTAAAGAAGCACAGGTGTGCCTTGCAGACAGTAAGTTTTTTAAACTCCTTCCTGAATTCTTGAATCATTATCCCTGCATAATTTATACTCTGTTACTGTGTGCAAACACTGAACCTGGACCACAAAGAAGAGATGTGAGTCAGTTCAAAAGATAGACCTTGCATTTTCACAGTAGAGGGCATAAGTTATTTATTTATGTATCAAATAATTATTAAAATTTTTGTCCATACTTTCTAATCAATGGACTGTGACAGAAAGTCAGAAGGTATGTAGTTCATTATTGCCTTTCTATCTCTCTTGCTCAGAGTCAAAGATGTTGATACTATACTGGTTGAGCATTGAGCCCTCTTCATTGTCATTATCGTCCCGTGATTTTAAGACTTTCTCTATGGAGTAAAAAAGAAGGATACCTGTCAAGAACCTCCCAGATTTGTGTACTGCAGGAAAACAAAGGGAAAATGAGTTCTTTTTGCTAATTGCATTGACTAAAAGCAGAGCATAGTATACAGACCGGTCCTGAGTACAGGCATGTTGTATGAAGACATATTTTAAAACACTGCTTCAGACAAGTGACAAAAAGCCCAGAGTCCTTTGGATTCAAACTAGTTTTACTTTGCTTCCCACTAAGGGAATGCATTGGGCATAATATCTGAACTTTATTCTCCAAAATCATTAGATACATAATATACCGAAACTGTAGTATATTTTCTCTTCCCTGAGTAATATTTTGGGAGGTTTTCTCTTTTTCTTCCTTGAAGAGTAATGAACTCTTTAAATAGACCTACCTACCTCCCTCCCCCCTTAAATAGTGTGATGAGATATCCTTAGCTACCAGATAAATGTCCATAAAGTTGCTCATTTACTCCCATCCTCAAGAGGACATTTGGAAATGGCTGTGTCTGGCATGGGATAGCCCTGGCCTCTCCTCACAGGAGCCACTCCTGCAACATCACTCTTACTCCCCACAAATCTGGCCATGTATATTTAACACACTGAGCAATATTGAATTTCTTTTTTCATTATGAAAACTGGAAGCAAAAACTAATGAAAATACTTGACTTGAAAGAAAGGATTTTGTCAAGTTTTCACATAGGCACTAAAGATCACTGATGTCAGTTTTGTCAAATGGAAATATTTTGTTTAATCTGTAGCACAACATTTAGGTTTGCATTTTTTTGGACCTCTACCTATTTACCTATTTATCTGGTGCAATTTTAAGCCAATATTTAGAAACATAAAAAAGTTTAAAAATGTGATATTTAAAAGTTGAAAATGTTGAGATTTTTAACAACATTGATTTGAAGTATTGCATTTTAGAAATGTCAGAATTAAATCTGAATTATTTTTTTCTCTTTTACTATTTTTATCCCAGACTATATCAAAGTGTAAGGGGAATTTTATAAAGATTTTTCCCCTCCGTTGCATAGAAATGACTCATTCTCTGTTTTTCAAAATAGCTAACATTTAAGTATCTGTCTGAAGTCCATATTGTGAAATTGCCTTACAGCTAGAGAGAATCATTTTTGCCTGAAAGCTGAGAGTATTATCTGTGAGGAAGCTAGAGAGGTTACTACTGAATATAATTCAGTTGCTCAAAATTTTGGTTTTGGTGAATCAGCATTTCTGCTTAAGTTTTTTTCTGTAAAAAGGTGTTCAGCTAATTTTGTTGTTTAGTCATGCCATGTCACATCATTGCTACAACTTCATTGACCCTACTTGGTAAAGCTGTGGCTTCAGATATGCATCTTAAGCATGGGTTTTTGCCAAATGTGGTTTTATATTTCTGATTCTAAACTTTGACTTTACCAAATTGGCTACAGTCATGACCAATTAGAGTTGATGGTACAGGCATACTCATTTAGCATATTTTTTATTTCTGAAATATCTTTTAAAATCTTGATCTTGTTTCTAGTTTAAACTCGTTTCTCTTGGCAAAAAAATTTTGTCGGAACTCGTGATTTAGAATACTTGTTCATTTCTGTCATCTCACTTTGAAGTTTTATCTTTATCCTGTGAAATCTATCTGGATATATTTTGTATCTCATCCAGCTTTTCTTTATCCACTCCTCTTCTACTTCATTTAGGTCACCAACACATTAGAATTAAGGAGAGAGCAGAATTACATATAACAGTATAGGAGCATTCAATTAATTTGTTTAAGCTTTTGAATGCATAGATACATATTTGCTTTTTTCTGATGATTTTCACTGTAGTAGCCTGAAATGCATGCCTTTAATAATTATTAACTGTTTTTCAGCCATTACCTGTTCTGGGATGGAATAGCAATGAGCATTACAGCTCTTCCTAGTGGGCTCAGGGAAGCCTGCTCGCAATATGAATAAGTCATCAACAGTCCACTGCAGGTATAGCCAAAATACTTTGTCAGGTCGATAGTTTCCTAAATGCAAACCAAATTATTTTATGTGTGGTTAGTTACACAGTATATTTCTACATTTACTTGTATTGCTATGGTGCATTTAGCTGACTAATGGCTCAAGAATTTTATTTGCTACTTTCATCCAAAGCACCTGCTCAAGAATTTGAATAATATAAATAATTTCTATGGAATTAACAAAGGAAAAAAAAAAACAAAACAATTTCAGCCACATAAAGTTCAATACTTATTAGAAAACATACCATGATTTTTTAATAAAATCACTATAAAGATCTGGCCAGAAGACCAGTCATTAGGGAGAGCAGGACATATTGATGTACAACTCTCAGTGACACTTCAAGACAGATTTGCTGAGGTGAAGGTGAGGTTCTGGGGCTGTAACCAACCCATCAACATGTCCTTGGGCAGTATGCTAAGATGTGACATGGCAGTAACCTTACAGCTGAACAGTTGTGCTGACCATATTGAAGCTGGATCCATTCAGATGTTATCAATGGAGGGATACCGTGGGATGGTTTGCCTCAGTCCCAAAATGATAAAATTTAAGCATATTTTTAAGTCTTTTGCCTTAATTAAGGTCTATGTTATTCTGTGACAGGGTAGAATATTAGTTGTTTATTAGCACATGTTAAAAGATAGACTAGTATAAATTATTATTTGTAAATCTCTAACTTCTTAAAATTTATGCCAAATGAAAAACTTTAATCTTCTCATTTTCAGTCTTGATGTTTCTTCTGCGTGATAACTTATATATAAACAATTTTATGTAGTGGTAATCAAAAATGGAAAGGAATTAAGTACCAGGACATCTTGCACAAGAACATTGACTAGGGTTGTAGAAAAAAATGTGGAAAACGAAACGATATACATTTCTTGAGAAATAAGAAAATATGAGTTCCTATAATAGCTTAAAGAAAATATATACGAAATATTATTATGACACAGCTTACTGTACAAATGTGTGTATGTATTTACACATAGTCAATACCACAAAAATATCCTGTCATCAGAAGACGGAATTTTATAATGATTGTTTTATAACTCTTAATTGAAAACTATCTATGTAAAAATAGTAAATTAAGCATACCAAAATCATTACACTATCAAGTGGAGAAGTAGAACAAAGGGTGTAAGTTCTTTGCGTAATCCTCTACCCAAAGAGCTTAATGCTGCCATAATACTCCATCTGTTTACAGTGACAACCATGTTAGATTGACACAACTGGAAAAGGAAGTGAAAGTTATGTGGCCCAGCTGGCATAAATTAAAATAGCTGACTTGATCTTAGTTCTTTGATATAAATTAATTAAACTTTAAGATTCATATTGGAGGAAAAGTATTTTCTTCAAAAAAACTTCAACATACTGCAAAGGGTCTCATGTGGAAGCAAGCTGACTTGACCGGAGAGCCGTTGATATATATCAATACAAAAGAAGTTGTCAAATTTAGTGAATGCCTTCAAAAGTAAGAGTCAGTCATCCCCTCTATGTAGCCTGGACTCAACCACAAAATAACAGAGGTTATCACATAAAATAAAAAGTTATTTTTTGTTTACCTTCTTTATTGAGCACTTCTGCAAGCAGAGAACCCCCAGAGCCCAGTCAGCTGATAGAGAAAATTAGTTTTCTCAATTTATTTGAAAAACATACACTTGACAGTTTTCAAGGTGTGTTTTCAGAATGACCAAAGATTTAAGAGTTAACCAACATTCATCTGAGGTGGCCTTTCCAGAGCATTCTCAAAAAAATAAATTTGCTGATTTTTTCCTTAAATGATTGTCCTTATTCAGCACAGTTGTAGTCCTGTAAAAAGTAAGAGCAGACTAGAAAATGTTCTGATCTTGAGCTGCATTCGAAAGAATAATCTCAGTGTACACAACAGAAAATTTATTATTTGTTTGAATCAGGAATATAAAATCAGTCCTTCATTTATTATCCCGTATACCTGCTTCTGTAACAGAAAATCGCTCATGACTCCAAAGCTTCCCTACTATTTACTGTTCTAACAAAATCTACTTTTTATTTTGATAGGAGGTATCACTGTACCTGTACAGAAGGGAACCCCTAACTGAATGGTTATGTGTACTGTTATCAGTCTAGGTCAAATAGATACCAACTGGGGATATTTGCGTGGATGCAATCATAAGAACCAGCTTAAATCGTTTAAAAGCATTCTATCCTACCTGTTCCTCAGGGTCCACTCCACATCTTTACATCTTCATTGCTGAGAATTAATCCCTGTTTTCCTTTCCTATTCCTTTGAATAGATAATGCATTGGATAAAACATCACAAGATGGCTAGCTTTTACAAGACGCATCCCTAAATGAGTAAAGTAACCTCCTCTGAAAAGGACAGCAGAATTTTAATGAACACTGGAGAGGTTTTCTAAAAAATACAGTTCACTGTTGGACTACTGGGAGCAGACTTAGACCACAATACTTCTAAAATTATGTTTTATTATTCATTATTGGTATAATAGGTTTTATGTATAAAACCTAAAAACATAATAATTTTTGAAAAAATTACAATGTTGTTTTCAATGCAGATTTGGTTTCTAAAATTCTTTGAAAAAAATTCTATGTAAGCAGCTAGACAAGGGATTATCTTCATTTTATTTCTTTTTAACATTTCCAGTTTGTACTTATTTTTCCCCGTTCTAATGCATATATTTTAAACTCTTTGATGTTATGTCTATTTTCACCCAAAATAGTGCAGCCTTCTGAGAAGTATAACCAATAGGGCAGGATGCAGCTGCTTGAACTGTAATCAGTACAAAATGAATTGACCATATTACATTAAATCTTGGTTCATCAGCTAGCAGCAGCCCTAAGGTTTTCTCACTGATGTATGAGAAATTATGAAATCTCTTGGGTTCTTTAACCCTTTGCATTCCAGAATTCTAGCTGATATCATCAGCTAGAAAGTTTTCATGATGCTTGCTTGAGGAAGCTGCTTTTCAGTATGTTTCTGCCTAAATAAAACTCACTATGGGATATTAGAAATGTATTTTACTTTTCTACTTGCAATTCATATGGCTTTATTCAATTTCTCGTTCTTGAAATTGTATATCCAATATGTTGTGTGGTTGTACTTTGGTATTTAATTCCCTACAGACTAAAGAACTAAACTAGTTGTCTGCCAATTTTCTGACTGAAAAGTTAAAAGTTTAAATGTTAAGACTACTGAACTTCAGGGATACTTTAACTTAATTGAAACAAAATTTCAGGACTTAGTTCCAGGTCATTAGGTTTCAAAGTATATAAAATGCCTCTATGATTTTATGGATAAATTTATATGCACCTATTTTTCTTAGTCTTCCCTATACACACATTTAAACATACACACAAAATCATTGTCCTATCAGTACCGTATTTTGACTTTCTGTTTTAATGAGAATATTATCGCTTTTGAATCTCTATTTTGGAATCATATTAATACAATAAGAACTCCTATAACAAAGACACTTATCTACTCCACAGTGTTTTGCATTGATTTATAGCATGCACTATATCACATAAGCCTGTGCTAAGATTATGTAGGCTAAAGTAAGAGCATATAGACTGTCTCTAACCTGGTTTAAAGGCAGCTTATGACAACTAAGTATACCATAAAAAACAAGTTACTACATGGCCTACTTATGGGAAAAAGAGTTTTTCTGTATTTTCTGTATTTTCACAGTAATCTATCTTTTGCTCTCATTTAAGTTTCATAAATATAATTATGCTTATAAGAGTTTCCTTTGAATTTGAAACAGAAAAGGAATAGCAATACACCTTTGTCATAATGTAATATTTGCATTATGCCTCTACTTAAATTTTATGTCCTATGATTAAAAACTGTAACTGCACAAACATGTATAAACTATGAATCACAGAAAGGGTAAAATTGGAAGGGTCCACAGGAGGTCATCTAGTCCAATTGTCTTGCTCAAGCAGGGTCCTAGAAAACAAAATAATTTTAATCCCTTTTAATTGGTGGAAATTGAAAAAAAGAAGAAGTAAGGGGTTAGTCTACTCTTATTTTTAAGTTTAAGTATAAATTGATCATCCAAATCCCTCAGCAAGTGTGCTGGAACTCCAGTTCTCTTTCACCTCCATAAACTGAAGTATTATAGAAGAAGTAAATATCATCAACTACTTCTATCAATATAAAGAAAGCTTGTATTAGAACATGACTATATGCCATGACCAACAACTTTGCAGACAGCTCTAGGGACTGAGAAAGAAGTTGATTATCTTGATTGTCAGTGGATTGGTAGATAGGAGATAAGTTCCTGTTCCCACTTGTGAGCATACATGGGCATTGCCCAAGTAGCTCCCTGGGGAAGAAGGAGACACCTAAGAAATCTATGCACCTACATGTCCCTATGGTCAGAGTAATTAGGTAGGTCGTAAGCCTGTATAGGACAGATGAGTTTCATGATGTTAAAGGATAGGTAAAGGTAGATAAATTGAGCCTGGATTTAGGTGGAGTGTATCTAGTGCTTAGAAACAAAGCAAATTAATGCAGTCATTGAATGGAAACATGAAGTGTTTTCAGAACTTGTTCTCACCAAAGGGAAAATTTCCCTCGTAACCTAAGCAATGGACTTGTAATATTCATCAACACTGGCTCTTTATCACAAGCTATATTGTATTTTTTTGAATTAATAAAGTAGAAAAAGTAGGTCACAGAGTGAAACATTTGCACAGAAAAAATGTCATGTAAGTAATGGGAGATTTTTTGCTATAGTCTGAGGTCAGCATGCATCTTGCTGAAACAGCTCAGACTGTTTTATAACTGCTCTTTTACCTGGCATATTTCTGTTTTACAATGATATCAGCGTACTGCATTGATATAATAATGATTCTTGAACAGCTTTTGTACCTCTAAGCACCGTATACCTGTCCAAGGTTTCCACTTATAGGGAATCTTAATTATTCTATGAAATTAACAAAGATCTAAGTTATCTTATCCAGTGAAAGTTCAATATCACTTGCAAAGCAGATCCTGGCAGCATCAATTTGCAAAACTCAAGTAGTGCAAAATCAGCTTCCGTTATATCTTCCAGGATAGATAAAGCAACAGTTAACACATTGAAAAGATTAAGTGAGTGTATTGGCCAACTTTCAGTAATTACAAGTACTTGGAAAAAAAAAAGGGGAAAAAAAGCACCACAAAATGAACATGACCTCCTTAACTAAGGAATATTTTTCTGGGTCAGGCAATGTTGAAAGGAAAAATATAAACTAAGGACTCACCTATCTGTAAGTTTACTAATGTCTATTTTGCCAGAAGATATTTTTCATCATATAGGTATAGAATACATAATTTTATTTTTAAATAAAGTCTAACTAGAAAATAAACTGACTATAATGTTGAATGGCTGTACTGATTAAAAGCTACCATTCTGAATTACACTTCTGTGTAAGGGAATATGAAGATGAAGCTTCCATATTGATTCTAATACAGAATTCTTGGAAGCAGAATTTAAGCCATGTGCTAATCCTGCATCACTGTAACAAGATAAAATATGTCAGACCTGCATAGAACAAAACCAAAAAAAAAAAAACAAGTCTCTAGCAATTTCCTTACCTAGAAGATGGTTTAAAAGACTCTGTGACACAAAAAAATGTATATAAAATGTTAAAAATACTACAGTGGAGAGGAAAAAAATATAGGCAGACATCTCATAAACAGGATAATGTCTTCTAGTTGGTGCAGGATGCTATAGCTGTACGGTAACAAGGCATTTTTGCAATCTACTTTTCCTTAACAATATTTAGGAGGCAGATAGATTCTCTGTTTGAACATTTATGCTGTTTAGGGGTATTGCCTGACTCTGTTGCTGATAGGAGCTATAAACACCCAGTGTGGTGATTAATGTTATGATGTGCCAACAGTATGCCTGTTTATATGGAGACGTTACAATATTTTGTACCCTATTCCTTTAAGGATAATTTGGATAAAAGTTTTTGAGAACCTAATAGAAGTGAGATGCATACATCAAGGAAGTTTAGGACAAGACAAATGGTCAGTTATTTGAACCAGAGTGTTAAAATGGTTGGACATGAGGAAAACCTCATTCTTGCTTAGAAAGGAACTTAAGTAAGAACTTGATGGCACTTAAAGACAAAAATGTTATACAGATGTATTTAGCCCAACACAATGTATGTCATATGCTTTATGAAATACTAATTAAAAAGTAGTATTAAGAGTGGATACCTTGGAGAATCTTTTGCTTGCTAGATTTATTTATTCCTTGAATCTGTGTTTTGCTAACATTCTTAGTTCACAGACTGCAAGACCTTATGAGGAATTTTTGCTTCTATGTACTGTTTTATTAGAATAGAAGAATTGTTCCCCTGAAAGTCTGAAGCCAAAGGCTAAGACAAGATACACTAAAATGCAACAGTTGTAAAGGAAATACAGGAAAACCATAACAATCATCAAACTCGAACACTGTTTAGAGTTGTTTGATGATTGTCAAGTTTGTATCTTGAGTATCATGAACAAGAACTAGAAAGAAGAACTGCAGGAATGAAGATTAAGTTTTGTAGATCAGAAGAAAAAAAATACAAGTATGAGAGAGAAATTTCAAGCTATCCACTTAAAAGCTCGAACAAAAGTAACGTAGAAATATTGAAAAAAATCTCAAATTTAGAATATTTTATATACTATGTGACAGATAAGGGGAAGGACATGAAAGATTTTATTTTCAGGTATGTAGTGGTGTGGACTTTGTTTTTCCCCAGAGGCTAAGAAAAGTGGTAGACCCCAAGGGGTGGAAACCCCTGGAAGTTTTGGAGTCTTGCCCAATGGGCGCTCCTGCAAAATGTAAACATTCCACAAGCTCACCGGAAGAGACGAGTTGTTTTTTGGTTGGTAAGAGAGGTGGCCATGTTGTAGAGCCATGAGGAAGGGGCTCAGAGCCCCTCAGGGGGCTTTGGCCCCCAGCCCCCAGTGGGGGCCTGCGGGGACCTGGAACAGCATAAAACTGAGCTAGGTGCCTGTAGTTATGCCGGGAGAAGTTTCTTCACAGTGAGCAGAGCAGCAGCCGGCACTGACCAGAGAAACGGTGGCAGAGAGCCAGAAGAGATAAGATGGAGCAACAAAGACATGCAGCACCAGAGAAAGGACTCCTGGAAGGAGAGCTGAGGAAAAGAGAGTCAGCAGCTGAGTACTACAGAGTTCTGGGGGTAAGAACTGACCCAGGCCCCCCCAAACTCCTTTGAGACCTCCGAGAAAGGAGGCAGATGGACTCCTATTATGGAGAGCAGTTTTGGACTGCAGCACCAGAGAGAGAG